AGCGGGGCAGTACCTTTCGGGGGGGTGGGCGGGGGGTTGTAGTCTTGATTTTTTTTTTTTTTGTTTTTTTGGTGTGGAGGAAGGGAGGCGGGGGCGGGGGGGGAGAGGAAAGGGGGGGGGGGGGGGGGGGGGGGGGGAGAGAAATGCGCCAATCCCTCTCTCTCTTTCCCTTCCTCCCTATCCCCTCTCGATGCCTGCTACGCAGGCTAGGACTACGAGAGTGCAATTTGATATACATGTAAATATGTCAGAGACGCTGGTGCATTACCTAACAAACGGAGCTGAAATGTTGTCAAATTTAGCGCTCAGTTTATACTCAATAAAACTGTAACGCTACTGGTGTTTTTTTTGGTCAGATGAAGACTCATCGATCACGTTCCAGATGGACTCAGGCGGCCAGTGAACACGAAATTAAGGAATACATCTTTGAGTGCTTAATTAGGTTATGACCTCACGAGCTTTTAAATACCTTTAAATAACTTTCAGGGGTTGGTTTTTCCCGTTAGCATACTCAATAATTTCACTGTGTTTGGGTGTTAGGGTCAAAATTATTGGGACAACTTGAATGTTTAACATTTCTGAAAACGGCTTCAGACTGTTTCATTGACGGCGCCGACCGGCATTGGAAGAACTAGGATGATTAAACAGTATAGATAATATCATGTTGTTTGTGGCATGTTTTCTATCTGAAAAACATGCCACAAAAATATTCCAGATACTCGTTTAATTTTTTTTTTCTAGTTTTAATGGTGTGGTTGGCCCTGAAGAGCAACACGTGGGCTGGGTGTTGACGTGACACAACTGACACACCTAAAATTCCTGTCCGGCCGCCGTAAGCCGCCGTGTCCCTTTTCGCAGGCCCTGGATAGGTCACTGTTCATTCTCGTTGGAAATATTGATGTTTTTCATAGGGATCACGCCTAACGTAAGAACGCATTTTGACCAATTAATCACTTTAATGTGATTAAACTACAATAGAACTATGGCAAGAATGGTGAAAATGTAAAAGAACAGAGAAGTATGAGGAAAAGTATAAAGTAACACTAGGGTCCTTTACATTTCGTTTGAAATTTAGCTAAGACGCGTTTTATCTAAGAACAGCCCCTAACACCTATTCTTCGATAAAACGCCTCATAAGTCGCGTCTTAATGTGCAGTTTATACGGGTTAGTTTGCGTCTAATGAAAGACGCGTCTTGTTTTTCCTCGTAAAAATGGCCCTACTATTACTGACACTATGCGCTTATAAGGATTTCACATGACGTTGGGTTTGTTTGAATTTCATATGTACCTCTTTTTTCTGGTGTGACTTATACCTAGTAGAGAAATCCTTAAACTTTTTCAAACTTAAAATTGCCATAATGCAGTGTTACTTAAAGGTGCAGGTCGACTATCCCGCTTGACCGGAAGTGGTGACAGCAACAGGAAGTGATTATCTGACATGTATAGCTATTGCTTTCATCGTGGTGAGAAGAAACAGTGAGGTCGCTGAAGCGATATCCAACAAAAACAAAAAGCGTGACTGCCTACACTCATAAAGCTAAAAGTCTTCGGGGACTTAAGTTCGCAGAGAAGACGATCACGACACCCTCTTTTCATGCAAACTCTACGAACTTGCTTTTTACATCTTCGAAATGAAGGGCAACCCGCATCATAGATCAGGGAGTCAGTTCGCTTTCACGTGTTTGATGATGATTTCTGTTTTTAGCGCATCCACGGTACACGCTGCTCATTCCTGGGAATCACCAAGCTTCAAAATTGAAACGAAAGTCAATTTGGAGGCAATTGTTTCTTGTGGAGAAGGGATGCTTCAAGGAAAACACGATTCAATATGTAGATTGTCCGCAGATGAAGGTACAGTATGAAGTTTGTGATGTTTGAAATCAGCATTTATATTTTATGTTAGCAAACTACTGATGGAGATATTTCATCCCAGTTTAACAGCATTATTAAACAGCATAATAGCTCGTATTATTTCGCTACTTACCAGAAATTTTAATTTCATCTTTTCCCTCTTCTACGATTTGAGCGCCAAAAAAAAAAGGTAGTATCAACTTAGCACAGAGGATCAAGAGAGAATTACCAATCCATGCAGACAGATAATCTGGGATAAACTCCCATTGTCGGCCCGAACGAATGTTTGTGGAAAGAAAATGGACCCTTTCATTTTTCCTCTCTAAACAATGGAAATCTGCGATCATTTCAGATTAGCTGCTCGGATCCCCTTTATAACCTTGGTCCTGTTCACTTTCCTGTTGTATACACAATTTTATCGAATCTTCGATCTTTCCAGAGTACGTGATAGAAATTTCACAACAATCGGTACGGTAATAATGTAGGTGATCTGATTCTCGATTGATGATTTAGCTAGCCTATGCGTGGGCGATAATTTCAACATTTAAATTCGTCTATAATGATTCATTTTGACCCATCTTAAATTTTTTATCCAATTTTCAGCTGAAACTGAAAAAGCCTCTAGTGGCCACTAAAGCGAGAGAGGAGGCGTACTATTTTTGTAGCACACACACGCGCGTCATTTTTAGCGGTACTTAGGAGTGTTATTTGGTGATGACTTCAGTGACAGATTCAGAGGAAGGGCCCGGGGGGCCCGGCGCCCTCCTTATTTTTAGAAGAAACTGAGGCCAAAAACGCCTGCGGGGGAGGCTAAGGCCCGAAGGGCCGAAAAATTTTTTTTCGAGACTGCCGCCCCCCCCCCCCCCCCCCCCCCCCCCCCCCCCCCCCCCCCCCCCCCCCCCCCCCCCCCCCCACCCCCCCCCCCACCCCCCCCCCCCCCCACCTCTCCATCCCTCATACAAACCAACCAAAAGAAAATAAAACAACAAATTTGTCCACTATCACAAAACAAAAAGCAATCAATATCTAGTAATAAAAACACCATATACACACATACGTGATAAAACACATCACATACTAATCCCCCCCCCCCCCCCCCCCCCCCCCCCCCCCCCACACACACACACACACACACACCCTTATTTGAAGGTCTGGATCCGCCACTGGACTTTTTATTAGCATGACTAAAAACTAAAATGAAATTCTAGAAATGTGAATATTGATGTCGTCTGAGTGTTAACATAACTCCATAACTCATGAGATAAACACGAGTGAGCATAATTGACTTCTAAATCTTTCGTGTCTATTAAGGAGGATTTGACTGGGATTGTTATTAAACGACGAGTCCATGCGCGACCAATCCCTAGCGGTGCTATGACAAAGCCATTTTTAAAGTAGCTTTTATAAAGCTTAGAATTCAAAGCCAATTCAATAGTTTCCTCTTCTTCCCCAGAAGTCTGTAGCACTCGCGTGAGCTGGCCGCGGGGCGGTTCGCGGCTTGGAGAAATTCCCGCACATTTTAACCCCCCCATCTTATCCAGATACATGGTCGCGGTTTTTACAATCTCGCTTGTCATTCTCGACCATTCTCTAACTGCTTCAGAAAACTGATACTTCGAAAGTGTCGTCTCAAGTTACTGATTTCTGGGTTTTTACTGTCTAAAAGTCTAAAAGTTGGAAGGATGTGGCGCCACTCTACGTAGAGCGTGGAAAATTTAGTTGAAACGACCTTAAACAAAAAACATATTTTACTCTTTTCCAAATCGTTTTATTGATTCTTGCTTTGCCGCAGAATTTCTATTCAGGCATGTTTAATGGCCGATTATTCCATGAAAAGAACCAAAAGCCGTCTAGAGTGTTATGATGGGTAGAAATCGAGGAAAGAAGAATTGAAAGCTATGGAGAAACGTTCTATTTTGACGTTATTACCACGGAGAAACGTTGTATTTTGACATTATTACCACGTGTTTACTTACAGACGGCCCTCAAAGCTATTCTGTGTGCGTAGATTGTGATCAAAATGCAGCTCAGAATTCTTAAGATTCCTCGGGAAATAATGCCAGCTCCGCACAAGCTCACTTATAACACTCTGTCGTAAAGAGGATGCCCCATCAATATAAGTTGTTCCTTGAATCTTTGTCATAGCAGCAAACGGGCGAAGTCTGCAATTAAAGGCGGCTATTATCGAATTTACAGTTTTAAATACGTGACTTGGGGTGGACTTCCTTGTCGCGTAATTAACGTGCGTATGGTGCGTACGCAAGTAAATTTTACGCACGTAAACTTTTTTTTTTACGTTTTATGCGCGACCTTTCATACATTACCTCTATTTTATTTTCGCTCTTCTAGTCGATCTGCTTTAATTACCCGACCGATCTACCTTAAGTCCTCTCGCTCTTTCTGCCCTGTGTCAATCCCGCTGCTATACACAATTACAGTCTTCTTCCTGACAGGCCCTTCAAGGGGAAAGGGAAATTGGAAAACGCGCAAGGTACGCTAATAACGGGGGAGGAGTGGGTAGACAACGAGTAGCTTTGATCAGAACAACGGGGAAGGGACGCGGATGGCAATTTTTCTTGTATTTCGCATGCCTTTTAACTTCCCCTTAAGAAATTAAGAGACCTGTGCTTGTAGACTACATGGACAAACTTGGATACTGAATGGGCGCCATAATATAAAACCAGAAATGGCAAATATACAATCATGCCCGTGATCTCGAGTAGACACGCCCTATGTAAAGCGCGTAGGGATGGTTGATCAGCTTCGAGTGTGAGAAGGAAACAGTTACGCTATTGGTTTATTCAATTTTGTTAAAAATAGGCGGGAAAGAAACAACTAATCCTGATTACTCAGAATTTTACGCAAATGGACTGCATATGAACTCCATCCACCCAGCGAAAACCACCTTTGAAAATCCATAACGAGGGCTATCTAAAAGCTAATACGTTTTGTTATTTTAAGTCTTAAAAGGTCAAGTTTTCAGCGTCTCTTTTAAGAAGTCCGTTTTTTTTAGTACAAAACCTTACTAACAGATTCAGGGAAAAGATTTTCCTGAATCTGTTAGTGGTTGGTTGAGTTTTATCCTTTTAGTACTGAAATCAATGACAAAGAGGACATTTTGCGAGACAAGTATTTTTCGTCCTTTCAGAAAATAGGTAACATATTTTGGCGCCTGCATTCAGTTTCGCCATATCAAAACTACTTTCTTCCATCTTGTTACAGACACCCAAGGGCTATCAACCCCAGACTGCTCAGCGTGCGATCCCAAAAGTAAAATGCATCTGAGAATAGACAATGTTCTTGTAGCTGACAACAAAACCGAGTGGAGATCTCTGGCCAAGACAAAGGATAGTATGTTGCAGGAGATAAACATCACTATCAACTTCCCACAGGTATATAGTGTAACATTTGTTTGTTTACACAATTTGAAGACATTTGCAATTTATCAGGGCAAAGTCAAGATAAAAACATGTTAACTAATACGACTTGCTTGGCGTGGCAGAACAGTGACAGAGTGACATGGAAGTGAAAATAATCTTCAGCCTTACTGGTTGCATTTCAGTTATCCGTCAACGCTTTAACTCTGTTCACATCCGACGACTGTCGTCAATAAGGAACCGTGATCACGCTTTACATAGTTCTACTGTTTTTGTCTTCATAGATGTTTAGGTAAAACTCATGTACGGTAACGTCTTCCCGGCCAAAATTTCTCCTGTCACTGTAACTTTAGTGTGAACGCCATCTCTTATCAAAAGTCTAAGTGCATTTCAAGTGCTCTTTAAGCAAACTTAAAGGAAAGTATACTTCAGCTGCACTTAGGGGCCTAGTGTGAACCAGCTATATATTTTAAGAATGGAAACGCTACTACAAGAAATGAAAAAATGTACAAAGAGCAGAACAATTATAGCGAACCACGCAGGATGTTACAGCTCGAGATGTTCACTGCAGTCCGTCTGGTCTGTCGGAAAGATGGCACAAGATCGTTGGACATCTTTTTTTGCAAGTCATTGCAATCCACTATTATTGTGTGTTTGCGCCCAACTGAACGATAAGAGATTGCAATCTCAAATGCAATGATGTGTCTTAAAGTATAAAATCGTAAAAACGTCGTACATGAAATAGGCTATGTCCCTCCTGCGTGGAAACGCACAGACCAATCTTCTACGCTCTAACCGAGACCTTTTCCAATGATTCTGTAAGGAATGTAGTATCGTGTAGCCAGTTAGCATCAGTTGTGTGCAAAGTGCAATAACGTGGCAGTGCAATCTAGGCGTAGCTATTTGCATGCAGACTCGTGAAGCAACGCACGTGCTGAACAGCCGTGAAACGCCGTCGGGGAGATTGGTGGAATCTTCAGACGCTTAGGCTGATACCACGTAAATGGAATCTATAAATTTTTTTGTTATATACAGTCACGTGTAGAGCCCAAAATAATGGCGTGAAGCATCCAGATATACTAGTCGGCATTTTTCATAAATCATGCGTCTGTTTTTTTTCTGCCTGCGTTCCTTTCTCTCTAGATTGGCCTTCTCCCGTCAAACAAATACTGAAACGTTTTGTAAAAATATGCTGAACCCTGTAAACGATCATGTTTTTCTATCAAAAATTTGTCGGCTCGGATTGAACTAAATGACCGCTGACGTAGTCGGCAGGATTCGAACCTGCGCGGGGAGACCCCAATGGATTTCTAGTCCATCGCCTTAACCACTCGGCCACGACTACATAGGCGATCTCTGACTGCTTAAAGTACTCGGTGATCAGTGCAGGATCATATGGCGCCTGGTCCATGTATGCAGGGCGTTAAAAGGAAAATTAATTTTTAGTGCCCTGCACGAACTGTGCCAAGGGCAAGTAAAAGAATGTGTAAATTTTTCATTTAAAAATTTACAGTGGCAGGGAAAGGTTTTTTTTTTTTGCTAATTAGAAATTGCTTAATGCTGACTTCTTTTTTATAGAAATATACTTTTATTGATAATCATACCTTGCATTTAACTATTCTTAATACCTAAGTCACTACGGAGTCTTCATTGACGTAATCAGCATTTCCAGAGAAATTTTACAAGTTACTTAGATAAGTGCAGCTCAGGAAAGTACGGCACCTCTCCATAAATACGAGGGGTCAAAAATTATGACCCGGACCGAAATAGTTACGACTTTCCAAAGACCTGTTCGAGATTAAATTCTCGACTGATTTCTTTTGCCAAATGATTTTTTTAGTCAAAATACCTGCCACCCCCCTGTAATCAGTCATTACAGTCTCATATGTTTGCTTTAAATATTGTGACTTGTAAAACAAATAGACGTTTAGTATCTCTCAGTGGTAGAAATGTACTAACCTGTGCACAGCTAAACCCTCCTCTCAAAGAAATCAGGCTTAAATATACGAGAATATAAACTCTCAAAAGGCAAAACTGACGTGACCCTATCATGAGTGTTAAGGTCCCAGTAACAAAATCATTAATTAATTCAATTGAGTAACTAATGCATCGTTTTGATGTCTATGCATTGTTATTGTATATCCCTTAGGTGTTCAAAGTTCGGCGTATCTCAGTCAAAGCAGGTTTAACTCCCCTCCCCGCTCTTTGGATGTTGGAAGAGTCACATGACGTCAAAAGTGATTTCAAAGCCATTCGTTATTATGCTGCTGACCAAGAAGACTGCTCTAACTTTAGTGTTCCTGTGTGCGTTCTGAAGTCAAATGGTTCTTGGGAAGAAAGCGTAAACGTACGTTCAGTTAACCCACAGATCTTGCGCGTATAAGAAAGTGAGCTTCAATTACCCTAGAAAACTATAGTGAGGGCTGAAAGGTTTTATCGGTTTTATTAACCAGTGTTCTTACAATGTAATTCAAATGTTCGGTCACGTTAAAAGGGTCGTTGGATCAACGAAGATTTTCCGATAGGGACTTGTTTGATATCTGCTTGTTTTCCCAAATTGACGAAGTTGAAAGTAGACTGTATTTAACCTAGCCGTAATATCTGTAGAGCGTGCAGATGGCTCATCAGTTTATTAGCAAAAATATGTCCCTTTCTGGTATACAAGCTTCGCTGCATAAGGTGATCTTCCAATACGCAAAGCATAGAAAGTTTAAAATGAACACTTCTTACTCAGTCTAAACTCCAGGCCCAGTTGAAATTAATCCAGACTATTTATGAACTTTCAGGTGGATGTTCTAGCGTCTAGAGTTCGTCTCAGATTTTTGAAAATGTGGAGCGACTTTGTAAGTACAGTGATGAAGCCAGCCAACTCGTCTTCCGAGTGTGCATGGCTGTATTTTCTTTCATAAACATCTGAAAAAAAGGTTAAGTGTTAAGTGTTCAAGAAAGCAACCATGGATAAGTCATCCAAGGGCATACACAACTGTGTCTCTTAATTAAGAGTAGGAAAAAGAAGTAGTTGTTGTACCTGTACATTCGGCGAGGTTGACTGACAATGACGCAACTTATCGCCTTGTCAAAGCATGCGATTCAACGCACGCTACGCTCGCAGCACTTTTCTGTTCCGCACAGGCAAAGTATCAATTTATGTGTATTAAGATCCACGCCCTTTGTTGTCACTTTAACAATCAATTATAAATCGACAACTACAAAAGTATGTTTCGCTTTGACCTCAAGGATATGAGGAAAAGGAAATATTTCTCACGGAGAAAGTCAAATAGACTAGTATAGAGTAGTACAAAAGCAGTAAAGAGTAAAGGGCACTAAAGAGCGCTATTCTCAATCTTTAACGTCTTTGTACCATATTATCACTTTGGTGATTTTTAACAGGACTTCTATTCTGTCAGTGAGATATCAATAGAAGGACAATGTGACTGTAAAGGGAAGGCTGAATGCTCGGTCACAGAGGATGGACTCATGGCATGTCACTGCATAAACAACACTTGTGGAGTAAAGTGTGAGACTTGTTGCCATGGATATGTGTTAAATGACAGTGGAGATTGCGCAGAAGTTGAAGGAACTGGTAATAATACAGCGCAGCCCCTTCAAGCAAACCTAAGTGCACCGGCATCAACAGAACACATTACTGATTTAGAGTTGCTGAAAAATGCTACTAAGCCTTACAATCCGGACCACTTCCTCGAAAAACCAGCTTCAGTGTCCACTTCAAAAAAGCGCTCCTCGTCTATGGTAACTACTGTAATAGCTAATATCACAACCCCATCTCCAATTACCATTGCAAGCAAGTCATTTGAACAATCTTCGAAAGCTGCTGAATCGATTTTGGTAGAAAGCACTCGACAACCTAGTCAAACGACTACCAGTTCAGACGTTGGCGATTTTTTGGAAATTGAAGTAAACCGTTCAGATTCGTCTTCTGAAGATAGTCCGCATATTTCTGTTTCACGGGATAACAATGTAGAGAATGGCTCTCAGCTTTCCTCAGCAAAAAGAGATTCCTATAGCATCATTGCCACTAACACCACTTTGAATGCCACAACTAAAGACACCAATGTGAAGAGGACCATAATCTCCTCCATTCCAGAGCTTTCAACATCTGAATCAGTTACAGAACAAAGCTTTCCTTCTTCGACGACTATGACTTCTGCTCATGAAAATGCAGCCACAGAAAGAAATTCCTTCGCTTCCGTCGACATTATGAGTGACGAGGAAGCCACTGAGGAGATCATCATCGCAACACATACTTTAACTGAATCTAATGCCAAAAAGAACGCTTCAAACCCCGCTAAGTTGTCAAGTACATCTGCTGCAAGCGTCAAACCTCATACTTCATCTGAATCTAATGCCAAAGAAAATGCTTCAAGGCCTTTCAGGCCATCAAAAAATCCGAGCGGCAAGCCAAATACCTCATCTGAATATCATGCCAAGGATGATACTTCAGAGCTAGCAAGTACTGCTGCCGCAAACGTCAAGTTGCGTACCTCATCTGAATACCATGCCAAAGAGAATACTTCAAAGCCTGCCGAGCCAACAAGTACCGCTGCTGCAGGTGCTAATCCAAATACCTCATCTGAAAATCATTCCAAAAAGAATACTTCAAAGCCTACCAAGCCAACAAGTACCGCTGCCGCAGGCGCTGAGCCAAATACCTCATCTGAATATAATGGCAAAGGTAATATTTCAAAGCCTACCAAGCCGTCTAGTACTGTTGCTGCCAGCATCAGGCTACTAGCCACTACGGAAGAAATCACGGCTCAGCCTGCTACCAACCAGACAACAAATTCAACGAAAACAACTTCCCACCGTGCGAGTGAGGAAATAACTACCACTGAAGAGTCTGCCACGGAGAAAAAGGTAACCACGCAGGGGAATACTGAACAGAAGCTCAGGGATAAGTCCGCTACCGCAGAAATAACAACAGCAACAATAACCACGACATCACCATTAACAGAAGAAACGGTGTTGAGGAAGGCTACTATCAAACTACAAACAACCAAGGACCAAATTACACCTGAACTTTTCAACAAGCAGACAGCAACCACTTCTGTGACCACTGATAAGTATCCTACAACATCACTACCATCCTCATCCTCATCATCCTCATCATTCTCATCATCATCATCATCATCATCATCATTCTCATCATCAGAATCACCGTCATCTTTGTCGTCCACAGCGACAAGAACAAATGATACCACTGTTCTGAAACGTACCAAGTATTTAAATACTCCAACAACAGTAACGGTAACTACAACGGCCGATAAGGAAAATAACACAAGGGAGCCAACCACTGAAAAACCATTGGACAGAGAGAAGACTACCACCAACAAGTATCACACGCCTTCAACGACAGCTTCACTTTCTGTTGCTGAACAATCGACATCCTCTGTAACTATCAATCAAGAGACGAAGACCGCCATGGAGTCAAATCCTACCGTTAACAGCACAGGAATAACAACCCAAGAGAGGTTTGACCATGGGATCTCCCCCGAATCAATAACAACTGCGACAGCAACTATTTCTAAAGAAACCACATCTACTAAAGAGACCTCTGCTATGACGACTACTAAGATGAGCTTTTCCATGGATGAGACTCTCACAAAACCTTCTACAATCAGTCCAGAAACAAAGGACGGACAAACCGAAGAGTCGTCTTCTGATAGGTCTTCAACAAAGAAGACTTCAAGTTCCCAAGCTGCGACAAACTACTCCGAAGTCGAGGAGACATTGACCACCGTGGCATCCCAGGAAACCACTAATAGCGAGACAACTTTGGGACCTACCAGAAAGGGAACAACCACAGTTGACACAACAAGCACCACAGAACATACTTCTGCAAAGAAAAATGATTCATCTGCCATCCCAAAAGCAGCAACAGCAACCATCACCAAGGCGACCGTGAAAGAAAGCTTAGGTAGTATGACTAATCAAGTGGACGTAACTACTGAAGCTGCTATACTGAGTACTACGGTAAAACCTACAGCACGTTCTCTTTTTGGGAAAACTACAGCTACAACCAGTCCATCAGTAAAAACATCTACTCGGCTTACTCCTACGGAAACTACAGTTCTTCCTCCTATTGTGGAGGAAAATTCGACTGCGCTCTCCACAGGGGTGAAAACTACTACTCTTCCCACCACAGCAGAAACCGGAACGGAGACGAAAATAACAAAAACTACTACTAAACCCTCCAATTTGAAAACTATAACTGCGCCTTTCCATTCCCTACGGGACATTACTACCGCACATACCTTCCCGGAAACCACTACAAGGCCTCCACTCGTGAATATCACAGCTAAGTCCTCCGTTATGGAAACCACAAATGCGTCTGTCGAAACAACGGCGGAAACTTTTCCTCCTCTCGTTAAGACTACTACTGTGCCTACCACTGTGAAAACTACATCTGTGTCCACCAAAACGGATAGAAATGTCGTTTCAGAAGAAACCACAACCGAGCCTTTCCCTCCCCTTGTGGACATTTCTACCCCTCCTACCATAATGGAGATTACAACTACCCGTGCCACTGTGCAAACTACTTCATCACCTGCGAAAACCATGACGGAATCTTCCTCCCCTCTTGTAGAAATTACTACTGTTCCCACCACTGAGAAAACTTTTACCGTGTCCAGGACTGTGAAAGAAACAACTACAGAGCCACAAGAAACGACAACCGAACCTTTCCCTCCTCTGTTAGACATTTCTACCCCTCCTTCCATCTTGAAAATAACAACTAAGCCCAACATTGTGCAAACTACTAAGTCTCCTGAAAAAACCACCACGGAACCTTTCCCTCCCCTTCTGGAAATTACTGCGGTGCCCACCACTGTGGAATCTACTACTGGTCCCACAACCTTACATATGACAACCAAAACAATAGAAACCACGGTTGAGCCTTTCCCTCCCCTTGTGAAAAGAACTACGGAGTCTAGCGCTGTAAGAAGAGCGACTGAGCCCACCAGTGGTAAGGCCACCTCTGAGCCTTTCCCAGCCCTTGTAGAAACAACTCTCCCTCCAGCCAAGTTCAAAACCACGACCGAGCCCACCACCGTGATTACTACTCCCGAACCCACCACTGTGATAATAACTATTACGCCAACTACACCGGAAGAACTTACGGAAGAGCAGGCTCGCATTCTCTTTGGAAATCTTCCCAAGGGAGGTAAGATAGCTAAGCAAAATACTTTTTTACTCATATTTAAAGTTGTACTCAAGCCTGTAAGGTGAACCAACATTTGTCTGAGGTTTCAGTAAGGAATGATTTGTTGCGATCCTTTCTTATTGCCTTTTTTTTGTTTCAGTGTGTTATTGTGTCAAGTTTGCGACAGTCGACAGAAGATGCTTTCCAAAGGCCTTGTACAAACCCTGTATATGCAGATCCAACTTTGCTGGGGTTAAATGTGAAAAGTGCGCGCCGGGTCATTTCAACTACCCTTTCTGTGCTCGTAAGTAGCAATCTTACTAGTTTATAACAAATTTTTAGTCCCCCTGTTTTTAAGAGTGTATTTTGGAGGTATGTAACAGAGTACATTTTCTTTGGTGTGATGAACTGCAAGTTAACATATTCCACAGGGCCCGGTTCCTGTAAGGCCGATTGGCGCTAATCCAGGATTAAAATTTTGTTCCACGTTTTGTATTTACTTTCATATGTATTGCTTAGAGTAATATTTTGTGTTTTCATTACTGTATCTCACAGTGAAGGCCCAGCAGTATTTTGCAAGCTTGAGTTACATGTTCTAAGAAGAGAAAACCGTGCTTAAAATTTAGGTTAATCTTGAGTTAAACTTAACCATCTTTCTAGGAACCGGCAATAAATTTCAGAAATGAAGGCCTAGACACTACTTCATTTCTTTACTACTTCGGTATGCTGCTTTGTGTAATATTCTCCTTTGGGTATCATATTAGGAGAACAACTCTGGTTCAGGAGAGAGTCGGTAGATTCTAGAGCATTTAAACCCGGCTTCCTAATAAGGGCGGGGTAAGTTCTAACGGCTTGATAACTCGGCGCACATGATTTCCCCTTATTAACTACAATAAGTTAATCCTCGCGACATTCATTTCTAATTGAAGTTCTCTTTTCATACTGTTTTGACTTTTTCTATACTTGGCAGCTTGTAGGTGTAACAAACTGGGCTCAGCTAACTTGATGTGTGATATAGAAACTGGTCGATGTACCTGCAAACCTGGCGTTAGGGGACGAAAGTGTGACGCCTGTCCTCTTGGATCATTTAATTTCCCAACTTGCTCAGGTAGGTTGACGATATACGTCCATTAGCCGCCTTACAATTGGATAATATCAGCTCAAAGAAATAAGACACAAGAGAAAACTCATTTCGGGCTTTCGTACTTTTTAAAAAACACAACCTGTTTTCTATTTTCATTTTGAAAGCAGATGACCATTGGAGAGAGCTGTAAGGTCTAGCGTTAGACTAGATCTTTCTTAATGGTCGGCTACATTTCATGATGTTTTCTTGCTTGTTTCAAAATTATGGCACGTAAAGCTTTTTGAAGTATTGTAAGTTTATGATTGCTAGTTATCCGGACCCTTGACAGCCAGCCGCGGGAACTGATGCGCTAACCATGATTACTAGCCTAGCAAAGGTACAGCGAGTGAAGCAGTCAGGGAATGCCCTCTGTTCGCCCTCTGTCCGCCCACTGTCCGCCTTCTATCCATGCACCAAACTCTAATTATCTTTCCTTGCTAGCTCGTCCTATCACCTGATTTGACGCCAGTAGAGGGACCTCTAGTAGCCTTGGATGCAAAATATTTGCTGTCGCGTTACATTTCAGCTTGTTGTAGTAGATTTTTTGTTCGATTTTCTTTTTACTTTTTTTTTAGCTTGCGAGTGTAATCCTTCGGGCTCATACGGTAACGTGTGCGATCCATACAACGGACAGTGTCCCTGTAGGTACGGAGCTCGTGGAAGACAATGCAACAAGTGCCCTGCCGGTTACTACAACTTTCCTTATTGTCAATGTAAGTAAAGGCAAGGAGTAAAACGTTCTTGTACACCATGTTTAATCAAGAAGTTTAACCATGCCTTGTTACGACGTTAGAACCGATAAAGCTTTTAAGTATCGATATTTTTGCTTATAGATTTATATCGATATCCTCACCAGAAGGTAGGATAGGTATGTAGGATAGGTACTTTATTAAATACATTGAAGCATAAGCTGAATTGCGTATTTAAATAATGGTAATAATTTATACTAATATTTGTAAAAATGAGTAATAATTGTAATAGTTAAGACTAAAAACGTATAATAAGAAACTTAAAAATTATTTACAATTCTGCCTGAGGCCATAAAAAACTGTTCTTAAATCTATTTGTCTTGCAACGCGGCAAAATGAAAGTGCGCGCGTGCCTTGGATTATAGTTGCTCTTGATTACAGGCGGCAACAACTTTCTTAACTTATGGTTCGGGTCGCTCACTATGCGTTCCAGCGTGCGCGTGCAAATGTTGTGGTGATGCTGTTGATTAACCCATAAGCGCTAAGGCTTGCTGATATTCTATACCAGGACATATGATTCACATTGCTCTTTTCTGAACGCGTTCTAATTCTTGCGAAAGGTAAGCTGGTAGCGCGTAATGGAAAACTGGCGCAGCATAGTCAATGACGGAGCGCACGCATGTAATGTAAAAAAGGCATAAATCTTTCTGTGGAACACGAGCTCTTTTTAGCTGAACAAGAAAATAGAGCCTCTTAGCTGCCTTCTCAGTAACTTCCGTGATGTGCGCATTCCATGTTAAGTCACCAGAAATAGTAACACCTAAAAGTTTAGCATCTGTAACTAATTTGATGCACTCCTCTCCTGTGACTACTGGAGGAAAGTCACAATCTGATGTAAAACTAATGCGGAGCTCCTTGCATTTGTCTGTGTTTAACTTGACTCTGCTTCTGAAAGTATTGTTAAGTCCATATTTAACTCAGATTTAAGGAAAAGTTAGCAATATCAAGCATAAAAAAAAACTTTTCCTTTAGTTGCTGTTGTTAACTAGAAGAATTTTTCGAATTTGTATAATACCCAGTTCATGTACATATGCACATTTAAGGTTTGCAGGCGGACATGAACTTTCATTTCCTGATTATAGGGTGTGGATGTAATCCATTAACAACAACTGAAAACATTTGTGAAGATTTTAGCGGAGGCTACAGGTGTTTGTGTAAATCTAACTTTAAAGGACATTTCTGTGGAGAATGCAAAAGAGGGTACTACGACTTTCCTCTTTGTAAAAGTGAGTAAAACAACATTTTTGTCTGCATTGATTTTTGCCTATACCATAGCAAGAATCCTATTATGGCTCTTGACCATAGCTGTTCCTGTTGGTTACGGAATAAAATTTGTTTTGTCATCTACTTATCACCAGAGTGCGCATGCTCCCGTCGTGGTTATGGATCATGTAATGAGCTGGGTAATTGCGTCTGTGATGCTGGTTATGCTGGAAGCCAATGCGATCGATGTGCAAACGGTTATTATGGATTTCCGAATTGCAGAGGTGAGTGATTACATTTAAACTTTATCACAACAGCCCTCATGGGATGTTCACTTACAAGGTGAATAAATGGGAGCATTTCAGCATTACTTAGTTAATACTGGCGTTACAAGCCAAGGAATTTTTATACAGTCGTAAAATTCAATCCAAAGAAATTACTTTTGACCATTCACAACACAAACTAACAATCAAACGAACCAATTGCATCTTGAAAAAAAATTGATGTGGAAGTCCAAAGGCAGAGAAACAAAAAATATTTTCGACTTTATGGGCGCTTATAATTTATTTGTCAGAACTTCCTAGCCATTCCAGTAGTAGAGAATTCCTCTATTAATAAGGACCATCCATCTCTGTCAGTCTTGAGTTTTTCCGACAATTTTAAGAATAGAAGACTTTTTCATTTAATATTCATTTGAATTGACCGGTCCTGTCGGACTTTTGGTGAACACTTTAAGTTAGAGAACAGCATTCACGCAAGTAAGAAAGAAGCATGTCAACTACATAAACTGAGAGGATACACAATGAATGCACAGAAACCCGAACAACAATACCAAGTGTTTACGGTTGGCAGTGGCTCTTAATTACAAGGTTTATTGAAATTTTTTTCCCGCAGCTTGTAACTGCAACACTTTCGGCTCCTTTACTACACAATGCAACTACACCACTGGCCAGTGTGCGTGCAGGCCCAATATTCGAGGAAACCAATGCAACCGTTGTGTAAAGGGAATGGTAGGCTTTCCTAAGTGTGTTGAATGTGACTGCAACCCAGATGGTACAAGATTTTTACCTGGAAAAACTGACAGCATGTGCTATTCCACCACTGAGGTAAAGTTAAATGAAACCACAGGGTAGTTAGTAAGAGTATTACAATCGCCTTGCGCCTTTTTTCGTCCTCTAGCCAAGGTAGCAAGGATAACCTTGTATAAGATTTTAATAACGTTTTGTCCCACGGACAGATGAATTTTTGATGTGCGCAGTGTTAACATTCAAGTAAAGGCTAAAAATATGCCATCATGAAGCCAATTTTAAGATAAAGTGTTACGACATAAATCTAAGTGAAACAGGCCCCAGCAGGATCACAGTCTTTATAACTGGAGGCGGCGGGTGTATCCACCTTGAGCGGGCTTTTCCTTTCTCTCTTTCCCTTCCCTTTTCTTTCCTTTTCTTCCCTCTTGTACTTAATTTCTTTACGACCTCGGGCAATAATTCTTTCTACATAGGCTCTTTCTTCTTTCGCGTCAAATAACTCGGCTGATCCATATGGCAACAAAAGTCATAGTGTGTTTTCTGTTTCCACGTAAACTTTTCATGACCTAAAACATTTCAGAAGCTTCCCTCTGCTTAAACCTTAAACAGTCGTTTTTGCTAATTTTTGACCACAATTTCTTTATCTTTACTATTGGTGGGAAAAAGTTTTTTGATTTTTAAATTCCTACTAAAAATAGTGACCACTGTCCCTTTCAAGCGGGTGTTTACCACGGTAACTTCAGTAAAACTGCGTTTTTCCGTTTTGCTTTGCACAGTATAAGTGCCTATGCAAGGCCAATGTTGCTGGAAAAATATGTGATCGTTGCAGACTTGGCTACTACAACTTCAACGGCAGCAACCCTTCAGGGTGTTCGCCTTGCACGTGCTCATCACATGGTACCATCTCAGGAACACGCCGCTGTCACGCTCAATACGGGTACTGTGACTGCAAGAACCACGTCATAGGTGGAAAGTGCGATAAATGCCGAGATGGTTACTATGCATTGAAATCACATCATTTATTGGGTTGCAAAGGTGAGTTTAGAGTTCAGTTGAACTAATTACCATGGTCTTGGACCTCAAAAAGAATCGAAATTTGCGCCAAAGTCGTTCGAAAATAAACTGGTGGGTGAAGACGCAGCATTACACGAGAACAGGGAAGTTTCCCTGACTAAGCTCCGGTTTACGGGCTCCTGTATTTAATTATTTTTTCTGTTTTGCCTTCAGTGTCAGTGCAGTCTTCATGTAGAGTAGATTGTAGAATTAATGCAGCAGTTTATTATTCAGTCATTAAAATAATTTGTTTGTTTGTTTCATATTGGCTTAAATTCCGTGGCTTCTTTTACATGACGGGTTAACGCTGACCACATTTGGAAGATTTACGCCTGACTCAATAAATAACAATTAATGGACAAGTGACGTCCATCGTCCAATTTTATGAAAAAGTGAATGAATGAATGACGCATACAACAAATAGAGATTGGCTGGAAGATTTCAACACTTTGGGAAAAAAGAATAGTCAAATTTTCCGTAACTGGAAAAGGTAACAGGGACCAAAAGCTGGCTACTAGAAAACAGATACCGTGTACAACCCAAAGCTGTCGTATGTACAAGCTTGACAATTTGAAAAAAAAACAAGACAATTATTTGACTACGCTAGCCATTAAAATATCTACTGTACACATGGCAAAAAACAATCTTCTAATCAGAGCGTGATAACCTCTCTAGGTGTATATTTGATGTGTCTTCTCCTTTGTTTTCTCTTTAACGTCGTAGCGTGCAAATGCGATCCTGGAGGCTCCGTGGACATGAACTGTTTTAAGCAGTCAGGTGACTGTTCGTGTGTGACCGGTGTAAGAGGAAAGAAGTGTGACAGGTATAGATGAGATCTATTTCGCTCCTGCTTAAGCATCCTTTATCTATCTATTTATAATTTTCTGCGCGGGGGCGGGGGGGTGGGGGGTTGAAGAAGAATAATGGGTTGTTCATCATTGGATTATTCCCTCTCGACAATTATCAAAAATAAAATAAAAAACGTTCATATTCCATCATTTCAACTCGAACATTTTTGTCATTCTTTTAGGATTATTGATCTTCAGCCCCCCGATTTATTTTCTCTGCTGTTTTCAATAAAAAAATCTCATCGCCCGATACAAGGGCGTTACAATTTCACTGTCCGATGCAATGCATGTGTACATTTGTCTACCCGGCCTTTTTCGTTGGTTTCTACTTCACGGCCACGTGCACAGTTAGAATCTACTTGTGGAAGAAAACTACATCCAGTGTTTCCTTTTATAATAAGTGTAGAATAAATCATATTAGTACTCCGTTATCAAAGCAGGGGAATTGATCTGTTGGCATGGAGATGGGGAGGGGAAAGAGATATTTCCTATTGATACATGTCTCAAGAGGAAAAATTATCGTAGTCCTCTTTTTAGGGGAGTTGTGAAAATCGAATCAGCCAACTTTTACAACATCATAGCTGTCAATTTCTTCTCTCCACAGTCTCTTCTCGTCCAGACCACTATATTTCCCAACCCTGTATCAAATGTCCGTGGAACTGGAAAGGGCCGTGTTGACGACTAACTCGAGAGTATGGGTACCAATTGGGGCGGATGAAAACAGATTTCCGTCATTTTCAGGCACTGGTTACGCGATGTTTCCCGCATATAAGGTAATGTCTCATTGTTTTATTCTATTTTTTGTCTTATTTGTTCTTCTTCAATTATATGAGGTTTTTTTTTTGGTTAAGGTGAATGGCCGGTCCCCAGTACTATAGTAGGGTGGTGCAATACCGCGAAGACATTAATAAATGTCACCAAATCTTTCTCATTATGGAGATTGAATATGCTTTCTCTTACCCCTGTTATCGCCAACAAAATAAAACTGTCTAAGGGTAAACCTAGCAACGGTGATTCAAGCTTATCTGTTTTCAACCAGAATAAAAAGGTACAGAAAATTTACTAAAACCGTTAGCAGAGCGAGGTTTTGATCCTCGGACCTCTGGGTTATGGGCCCAGCACGCTTCCACTGCGCCACTCTGCTATCTGCGATCCAGAGAAGTTCTTCCGAGTTATATAAAGAGATCTTGTCACTGTCTCTGTAAAGCTGCTGTAGATCATAATGGCAAGACAGTTTCAACAGTTTTGCACCTCGGTTAAAAAATATAGTGAGTAAGTACTAAAAAGGAATGTTTTATTTATTTGCATCTGAGTTCTGTAAATTTGTTTACGTTGTCTTAAGTTGTGTTTGATTTATTAAGTTTCCAATACTTCACTTTGCTTCTGCTGCTTTGCTCTTCTTATTTCAATAGAGGGAAGAAAAACATTTCATGTTGGTAAATCAACACGGAAAAAAATATTTCCTCACGACTGGAAAGCGAAACACAAAATCTCCAAAATAAGTTAAGAAAAAAAAAACATAGCAGAGCGAGGTTTTGATCCTCGGACCTCTGGGTTATGGGCCCAGCACGCTTCCACTGCGCCACGCTGCTATCGATGACTTTAACGCTGTTAGTTTCTTCAGTCAAATGAAGAAAGAATATGGCTCGGTTCTGTCGCCTGTTTCATTAATTTTGAAAAGGTCTGATTTATTTTCTTACACGTTCAGTTTTCTTTGTTTTATGGATGCATTACATTTGTTAACCCCTGAGAACACTAGAATTCCAAAAAAAGGTAAATTATTTTCAGGGAAGCGAGGTATTGATAATAGCCGGCGCGACCCCTGCGTTATGCCCTGTCTACTTTGTCACTCTGAGCTACTCTGCCGTCAATTAAACAAATGATTTTTTCTTTAGTAAATTCAAGTTCAAGAAGGAGTAGTTTTGCATCAGCTGTATTTTAGTTTTCTTGCTGCTGTTTATGGCCTTCTGATGTAAAGAAAAATTATCACAACTTGTTCAAGCATCACAATGATTTATGCTTTTTTCATGGTGTTCCTTGCCTTATATCTTATTTGTATTGATGTATGCTGCGTAATAACAGTAATAAAACGTGCCTGCAGATGCGTAGTTTAACTGTTTTCCCTGTTTGTTTTTTTAGCCATATTATGTTACTATAAACGTTCCTAAGACAAGACTGTATCGCATCATCTTCCATTATGCATTGAAAGAGAACCTTCATGCTTCTGCTAGAGTGGATCTTGCACCCCGAGGTAAAACTACACTTGAATGTGAACTAACAGAATGAGATATTTAACAATCATTCCTCGAGCCCGAATGGGTTCTGAGTCAACAACGCATGAGGCCAGAGGCCATGAGGACGAGAGGAATAATTGTCTTAGTAAAATCCAACTAGTTGGTCAAAGATATCGAGACAAAACAACTTTAGCCAGCAAAACGCGATTCAGCCGCCATTGTTTTGGTTTTCAAAGCCGGCGCTTTTCGCTACTGCTGGGCTATAACATGTAGCCTACCAGTATCTCAACCAATGAGAACGCAGCATTGATAATAGACCACCAGTTGGATTTTACTAAAAAAGAATTGTTTTATATTTTCCCCTCTGACTAGAAGGACCGGGACGAAGAGAGGTACTGTCCTAATGACACACAGCCTCTACTTAGGGATTATCGAAGACACTGAGGTCTTACTTATGCAACAGCAGCGAAAATCGAGCAAGTGAAAGAAATAATCTGCTGACAGGGTGACTCAACCGACAGTTACTAGCAAATATTTGATGCAGGTTTACCTCACCCGTTAGTGAATAACACATAAAACGGCTGCCAGACGGGCCGAAGTCATGCGCCGACCCACATTACGGAAATTACAGGCAAAGCAAGGATTACGAATTTTTCTTCCAGTTTTCATGTTCGCCAGGCCTGGCCAGGGTATAATAGCAGTATGATCCACCTTCTTCTAAGTGACCTTATGCTTCTCTTATTTGGATATTTTACAAAGTAACCCTTTCGTCAAAACAAAAAGCACAAGTTCTCGAAGTTCGTTGGTTGAACATCGAACTCTACAAAACGTCTGGCAGGATTGTGTAATACGTGCTAGGCAAGGGTTATTTCACTTTTTTTTTTCAGTATTTTATCTAGCTGCATATGATTCATTCCTTTTAGGCTCTAAGATTTCTAATCACACCTTTGAAGTGCAGTTTTCTCCTCCAAAGCCCGGTGCACAGCAAACCAAGAACTTGAAGACAACCGTAAATAGAAGAGGACGAATCAGAGAGTTTGATATGAAAAAGGGTGCCTGGAATATCATTATTACATCTCATAGTTCCATGCTTTTGTTGGTAAGTTTGCCAATTTGTCAAATACTTGAACTACGTGACAAAATCTATCGATTTACTTCTAGAACGCCTTCCTATTTTCCATAGGTCACTTACCAATGAGTGATAAAAAAGTATTTACAACTAACAGTTAAAAGGACTGACATTTAAAAGTTTCAATCCTACTTAGAAATATTTTTCTATGATACACGCCCCCAGACTTGCGCGTTTGCGTTATTGGGAAATGGTCACTTCATACATGTAAACAAACGGACGCAACAGCTCCCAACATTGTTGGCCAACAACACGCACCAACATAAGCAAAACTAACTACAAGAGAACGACTGGAGAACTGACAAATTGACTAACAATAGACGACTGTTTAGCTGTGACCACAGACGGATCGAAACGCACCAATTACTGATTACGAGTGTTCATAGCCAATGACATCACGGCTTAACTGACAGACGACCAATAACATCGCGACGTAATGGACCAAACAAATCAATAACCAGAGTATAAGACCATCAACTTACGTGATACAACTCACTTTGACGCCGAAGATCACTACCGCACAGGTTGTCGAAACGTCAGTCACTGTCAACGAAAACAGTCCTATTCAGGACTACGTTCACCCAGACGATCAAACTCAACCTCCTTTTGAAATGACTCCTGGGTTCAAACCTTTCACAGTTTTGCAACATGTAACATTCAACAATGTTGCATCCGTTTGCACGGGGCTTAACATTTTTATTTTTGCTTATGATAATTGACTTCCAAGCCTCGCTGGTATGTGTAAACTGCTAAAAACATTTTTATTCCAAAACGAGGCTTTGAGGTCACTGACAGGTAACAATCACACACTAAATCCCAAACAGAATCTTTTATTAACAAGAACAGTAATAACATTGCAATTCTCAGAGAAAGCGAGGTTTTGATGTTATGTTATGAGAACAGCACGCTTCCTTTGCGTTCACTCGGCTTTTGCCGGTTGGCAGAGATTATTTGAAAAGCGTCTTCGTTAGCCTTAGTAGTAAGAATTTCTCTGCGAACTGAGTGCGAACGTTCGTGTGAAAGCAAAGCCATACTTGTCCGAAGGCCACGCCTCTTGGTGTAGCAACGTTTTTCTCTTGCATTGCAATCGCGCGGGGAGGAGAATGACTGCTCAGTTTAATGAAAGTTATAGTTAATGAACAACAGAAATCTTGTGCCACTTTAAAACAGTAACCCGGTTGTCTCTCGTTATAAGATAGTAAGCATACAAAGTAGATGCACAACTGAGGTCAAAGTTGTTCAGAACAACCTTAAAGTCCTAGTTACCCCTTAAATATTTGTTAGTAAAATGTAGTAAAGGTGTTGTTGTTGTTATACTTAATGCAAGAGTAAACCTTTATTGCACTAAATGTGTGGTTGAAAAAACTTATTTTTACCTGCTTATTTCTATCGGTTAGCAGAGTGGCGCAGTGGAAGCGTGCTGGGCCCATAACCCAGAGGTCCGAGGATCAAAACCTCGCTCTGCTATGTTTTTCTTTTTTTCTTTTTTTACTTCGGTCGCTCCTGTTGTCAAAGTTAACTTTTGAGTCATGTAAGTAAAAATCGTTGTGCAAGGCGTAACATTTCGAAAAAAAAAAAATTAACAATCTGAAAAGTATAGTAACAGTGCCGGATCAACCTGGGAAACGCAAACACGTTAATGCATAAAGATGATCTTTCTACTTTTTTTCAGCTACAGTTATCCGTTCATTGTTTTTTTTCTTATGGTGGATAGCTTAGGGTGCGTGCAAACGGACGCAACAACTCCCAGCATTGTTGGACGTTACATATTGCGTCCGTTTGCACAACCTGTTGCATGTTGTTGCGTGTTGTTGGGAGTTGTTGCGCAAAGTTTGGAGCCAATAACTCCTAACATTTCTGTTGTTTCATGATCGCCGAAGCGTAGCACAACAATGTTGGAACCCTTTTGCACAGCTCGTCTAACATTTTTGGGGCCACGTGCGCTCATTACAAAAGGTTTCCAACGTGTTATGGGCTGTATCCTTCCCACGATGCAATGCAGGCCCCAACATTGTTGGGATATGTTGCATCCGTTTGCACACCACTGCCAACACGGACGCAACAACTTCCAACATTGTTGGCCCAGTAATGTTGAAAGTTGTTACGTCCGTTTGTAAGAAGCTTAAACGGAAAAACCGTTAAGGATGGTTGACATTTGTCTCTAAAAATGTTGGCGAGAACGCCAGTGTCATTTATGTGATCGTTTAAGGGAAGCTTTTTTGTGTGATAAATGATTTGTATCCAGGATTTTCAAACCTATTAGGTATCAAATGTTGTAACTTGTCTTAAAAAGCAAAAAACTGTATCCACTACTGTAATCGGCAGTATTCGAACTTGCGCGGCGAGACCCCATTGGATTTCTAGTCCATCGCCTTAACCACTCGGCCATGACTACTTCTGTCATATCACATTCTAAAAATTAAATATTTTTGCCCATTGCATTGTACTGCGGAAAAAATTGAAACAAAGCAGTCCTTGAACGTAACTAAGAAACTGTTACTCTCTTTCTAAAAGAATGTACAGTGGCTCCCCGTTAATACGGTCACTAATGGGCCAAAAAAAAAATTTGGCCGTAGTAACAGGTGACCGAATTAACGAGGGTTTTTTCTTTACAAGAAAGTGTATGGCTATTTTGCCGTGCGGCCAAAAAAAGTGGCCGTAGTAAAGAGGTGATCGTATTACCGAGGTGGCCGTAAGGCGGGGTTCCACTGTAATTGTAACCAACCATCCACACAAAAGCTGTTTAATGTCCTGCTCGGGTCAAGTTTTTTTCCAAATGTTCTCTGGATATTTATTTTGGGTAAATTGACAGTTGCCTTCCCTCCATAAGTGTTTGCCATTTTGAGAATTTACAAAATTTTTTTCAAAGATGTTCATTCGCCATTTTCACATGTCCCATAATACACCTTGTTCCTTGCTTTTGGCTTGGCGTTGAAGATGCGAGCGACCTCGTACACAAGAATTGTCGTTTCACTAGGAAGTGGACTTAAATTTCCTTGTCCGCCACGATCAGCGCAGAAATTGATCACTGAAATTATTAATTTGGCTGATAAATTAATAATGACACAAAAATCCTGTCGAGTCTGAGTGGTTTTCGTTGTTCTTGACATTTCGTTCGTTTCGCCAAGACCTGTGGGGAAAAATTGACTTTAAATGTATTGACCAAATGCCTATTTCAAATTGTAAACACATTTCGACATAATACAATCTTCAGTCGCAGAACGCTTTGATCTCTGAGTTTGTAGATGTCATGCGAACGGTATCACGTTAAATAATTCTAATGCAGAGTCTTACATGCAACCAGAAAAAAGGGAGAATAAATAATACAATAAAACTTTAAAATATTAGCAGAGCGAGGTTTTGATCCTCGGACCTCTGGGTTATGGGCCCAGCACGCTTCCACTGCGCCACTCTGCTTTCGCTGGTTGGCAGAGATTGTTTCAAAAGCATCTTCGTTAAGGATTCCTCTGCCAACTGAGTCCGAACGTTCGTGTGCAACCAAAGTCACACTTGAGCGAAGGTCACGTCTCTTGGCCCAGCCGCGACTTCCTGTTGCATTGCAATCGCGCAAGTGACGAGAATGACTGTTTAGTTTTATGAAAGTTATAGTTTATAGACAACAAAAATCTCAGCGCCTCTGTAAAACGGTAACCTTTGTATCACGTTATAAAATAGTAAGAATAAGTTAGAAGCTGATGCGCAATTCAGATCGATAAACTTTTAAGCTGTGTAGAGCCACCTTAACCTATAGTTAAGCCCTAAAATTTCTTGATTGTCTATTTGCTTGTTAAAAATAGTAAAGATGTTGTTTTTGTTATTGCAAAAGTAAACCTTTATTACGCTAAATTTCAGGTTGGAAAAAAAACCTATTTTTATGGGCGACTTCTTATCTGTTAGCAGAGTGGCGCAGTGGAAGCGTGCTGGGCCCATAACCCAGAGGTCCGAGGATCAAAACCTCGCTCTGCTATATTGTTCTTTTTTTCATATTCACTTCGGTCGCTCTTGTTGTCAGAGTTAAACTTTTTATTCACAAAAGTAAAAAACTTTGTCTAAGATGGTTATACTTTTTATTAATTAATGAAGCATCATCATCAAAAAATCTTCAAACATGCTAATGCATAAAGAATATCTTTCTACCGTTTGTCAACTAACGTTTAAACATTCGTTCTATGTTATGTTTTGTATGGCAGATAGATAGCTTAGTGATAGCTTATTTCTTCTATTGGTGGTATAAAAAAAAGGCCAGCGTGAACTAAAACATACCTCTAAAAATGTTGGTGAGAACGCCAGTGCACTGCCATCTTCGTGATCGTTTACGGACACCTTTTTGTTCGTTAAAAATGATTTGCACTCATGCTTTTCCGACCTATTAGGTATCAAATGTGGTAACTGCCTTGAAAAAGCAATAAAACTGTAGCTTCTATCGTAGTCGGCAGGATTCGAACCTGCGCGGGGAGACCCCAATGGATTTCTAGTCCATCGCCTTAACCACTCGGCCACGACTACCACAGATATACTATGGGCTACAAATTAAATATTTTTTCCCCATTGTATAGCACTGTAAAAAATATGTTGAAACAAAGCCGAGTCTTTGAACGTAACCAAGAAACCGGTACTTTTTCTTGAAAATGTAATTTTAACCCATATCACAAAAGCTGTTTAATGCCCTGCTTGGGTCAATTTCCAAATTTCCAAATATTCTCTGGAGATTTGTTGTGAGTATAAAAATGAAAGTTTTTTTTTTCCTCCGATAAGGGTTTGCCACTTTGGAAAGTAACAAAATTTGTTCAAAGATGTTCAAGGGACAGTTCCGTGGTATGAGTATGTGCCGGTCATCAGGGGGACAGTAATCTCAAATGAATAATGTGTTGGTAGCCGAATGTACCTCTGCCCCAAATTAGAAGTGGAGCCACACATACCCGTTTTGGTATCTATAGCCGGAGTACTAATATCATGAGTGACAAGTTTTCCCTTTAATTTGTATAGCGCAATTTTAGCGTAAAATTTCACATGTGAAATTTCTAAACCTGCTATGACAACGTTCCGTATTTCTCAGATGGGGTCAAAGTTTTCAAATGTTATGAATAAAGATGTCAGGGCATTAAAGACGCTTAAGAAAACCTAAACACAAGAAAAAGTACATCAAGAAAGATTTTAACACGTATTTTGTCGCAGAAATTCAGAAAATTGTGAACTTAAGCCAAAATGTATGCTATAAGATGATCGATGGCAGCGAAAAACGCAAACGTTATTTGGCTCTGAACTTCAGAATTCGCTCGTTTTTGAAAAGAGCAGTAATAGGTAATCAAATGGTGTTCTCATTTTCACTGGCGTTGACAAAAGGCGCCTGAAATTATTCCCTGATTTAACTCGTCAGCATTTATTACACATACTAATGCGTCACACTGAACACAAAGGCGGCCATTGAAATAGTGGACACAATTTGACCGATTTGAATGTTAACGAACTATGCTTTCATAAATATCTTGTTCAAAAATTGCTTCAATGAGTGCGGATTTCATTCTGAAAATCTCTTAGTGTGTTGATGCAATCAAGCCCTTTTTTAGTAATTCTAAAGGACTAAGGCAATTTTTCGCAGTTCCTCACTCAACAAACTATAAAGGGGAAAGGTACAAGCTTTCTGATTACTAACGAGCAACCTGGATCATAACTAACGCCTGTACACCCAAACCATCCCAGAAATCACTGCAACCAAAGCTTGTACCCATTTCCATAGAGTTTCTGAGGTGTGGATTAGAATTTCGCTACTACAGCGTGTATTAATGAAAATAATATGAACGAAATCAAGTTCGGCCTTTACTCGCGGATTAATTCTGAAAATATATAATCAGTAAATAATACGATTTGGACAGATCTCTGTTGTCAAATAATCAAGGACGAAATTTAATGCCAAGCATAGTGTTTCCTCGGAGCGTTGCGTCTCCCTATGGCATGATCGTAGATTCGTGATTTAGGAAAGAAGAAACTATGGCACCCAGGGTCATTTTACAACATAGATTACATTTAACGGTATGGCAAAAAATATATCTACTATCGTAGTCGGCAGGACTCGAACCTGCGCGGGGAGGCCCCAATGGATTTCTAGTCCATCGCCTTAACCACTCGGCCACGACTACTCTTTTCCTCTACATACTGAAGTAAGGAAATGTCATTATTTCTCTCTTTTGCGATTAAACATGAGAATTAAGAGCCTGTTAATACATCATCGCTCCCCGTCGCTGGCGAAGTCTCGCGAAGCGTGCCCAGCGATAGCAGGGATCGACCGGGGAGACGTGGCGGTATTGGCAGGCTAGAGAATTAATTGACCTACATGAAGACCAGAATATGTTTACCAAGAAGATCAGGCGCGGATCCACACCGGTTTCCACCGTTTTACGGAAATCGGTCAGATTTTTCACGATAAACATTTTTAATGATAAAATATCAATAATAGAACTTTGTAGAAAATAGTCTGGACAAATGTTTTCTTTTTCCAATTTCCGGGCATTAGACAGAAACCCGAGAAAGGGAACTTAAGGGACTTTAAAAATCAAAAAAAATTCCCGGGGGCTCCCCTAGACGCTTGCTCCCTCGGCCCCTCGTTTAGGAAATCGGTCAGTATTAATCCTAGATCCGCGCCTGAAGATGATCAATGAATAAAAGGAACAGTAATCAAGTCACACCAAAGCCGTTTTATCTCTCCTACTGAATCTTCGTGGAGGATTTACTTAAAAGTAAATCAAAAGGTTTTTCTGATCAACACAATGATATAAACGTAAACGTTGGAAAGTACAACATTTGCTTTAGGTTATCACTGAGCCCGTCGTAGGGATGATTTATACGTGGTCAAAAAGACGTTAAAATTATATTTCGATTACTAATTATATGCTCTGGTATCACCAACGAGTTTAAAACTAATTGAATTAAAAAACATAGAAAGAAAAAGAAATTAACCACAAAAGGATTATCCAAGTTTTTTTGCGACTTCTATCTTAAGAGGTTGCTCTGTGTTGCATACTATTAAACACGCTACAGGAACAAGGAAAATAAGTTTTAAAAAAGAGTGAAAAAGGGAAATCCCTTTAGCAGAGCGAGGTTTTGATCCTCGGACCTCTGGGTTATGGGCCCAGCACGCTTCCACTGCGCCACTCTGCTATCGGCGATCCAGAGAAGTTCTTCCGAGTTATCTAAAGAGATCATGTCACTGTCTCTGTAAAGCTGATGTAGATCGTAAATGTTAAGACAGTTTCAACAGTTTTGCACCTCGATTAAAAAAATAGTGAGTAAGTGTTAAAAAGGAAATACCCTTTTTCATTTGCACTTGATTTCAATCTGTAAATTCGTTTACATTGACTAGTATTCTCTCCTGGTTTCACTTTGCTTCCGCTGCTTTGCTCTTCCAATTTCAAAAGAGGGAAGAAAAACTTTTCAAGTTGGTAAATCAACACGGAAAAAAGTAAGCAAAAAGTGAAACAAAAAGATCTCAAAAATCAGTTAAGAAAAAAAACATAGCAGAGCGAGGTTTTGATCCTCGGACCTCTGGGTTATGGGCCCAGCACGCTTCCACTGCGCCACTCTGCTTCGCGTGTCTTTAAGAAGTTTCTTTGCTGCTCCGATTAGTAAGAGTTTCCAGATGCCTGTGCGAGCTAAGCGCGAAAGTTGGAATGATAGGAACGCAGGATACGTTTAAGGTGAAGTGATGGTGATTTCCTATCGCCTTGGAATCGCGTTGGTATTTGGAAGATTTAAAACAGTACCTTGCCCTTTAACTTTAACTTTTATGAGATCCCATTGAGAAACGTTTCTATAGTATAACAGAATTCAAAGTGACCCGCGTTTAATAAAGGCGTTAAATGTTTTTTTTTTAATGACAAGTTGCTGCTTGAATAAAAGTCTTGCATCTTTTGGATTTCATAAACGGCTTAAATAACAGAGAGCCTGCGAGCAAGCTGTTGTGTTAGGGTTTGGTGCTTTCAGTAACTTTTATGTGTAAAGTCGTAGGTTAAACTTGAAGCCTGTTAAATTTTTCTCCACTGAATGATTGCCCCGTCCACGTTTAAAAGATACGTTGAGAAATGTTGGTCTAAATAGCAATGATATTGGTGGTAGTAATGGGTCAGTAGTTTATCCGCTAAGGTTTGCATGAATGAGTTACTGGTTATCTAGCGCCGAAAAAAACTTTATTGGCAGAGAGCTCACCACGTAACCTGCAACTGCCTACAATTTTTGAACTCGGTTAGCGCAAAATACCGTGATTTGTCAGTGTTTCGCAGAATAATTGATCCGCTCGCCACTGACAAATCACGATATTTTGCTCAACCTCGTCTAATACGTCAGAATGATCGACATCTTAGTCGTGATTATGGACACTTCTTGATGGCAAGTCATATTTGAGTCTGAGTCGGATACTGTAAGGGTTAACGGTATTCTGACGTCTCTAAATCCATATGTATGAACTTTTGACGCTTAAGGCTGATTTTCGCTAGCGACGGAGTCGGAATGGTGGTCATAAGTGCACGATGTTATAATTATATGATCTAGTGATGCAGGTTACCCATTCCGCATCCTACGCTTGCCTATATTTCATGAGCCTGGTACGAAAGAGAACTTTGTCTTCTATTTCCAAGTCGAATCAGACTTCAACTACTTGCACAAAACTAATATTCAATGCAATTTGTTATTCGTACCGTTAACTCCAAGCTAGTAGTCGTGGCCGAGTGGTTAAGGCGATGGACTTGAAATCCATTGGGGTCTCCCCGCGCAAGTTCGAATCCTGCCGACTACGTTTTGTCTCGAAATTTAAACACTTTTTCATAGCAATAATTACGACCGTCAGCTTCTTTCTCTTGCTATCTGTTGCACTTGCCCTGAAACAAGTTCCTTGATTGTATTTTCTAGTAGAAGAAAATCCGGCGATTGTGGTAGCGTCGCTAACGGCTTATCATCTCTATAAAGCCGACAATAGCCCAGGACGTTTCTTTAATATTTGTAATAAAGAATCCAGTTTTGTTGGTTTTAAAAGTAATGGGAAGAGTTTGTACGTTATAACGCAACAATTTGGGCAAGTTTGGTGGCAAAATAATGCACCATTTTAATAGATTTTGATTTTGAAAAGTTTTTTTCGGGCCTGAAATTTGAACAGGATTTTTAAGAAACGCTCCCCCGACCAACATCAAAATAAACCCAACAAAAACAAAAAGGCCGGAATTCCCAGGAATCCAAGTTGCCAACGTATTAAACCAGTACAAATTTAATCTTGACACTTGTTTCTCTGCCGGAGAAAATTCGTAGATTTTGTCTTCAGCAGTCTTCTTTTACACATCTGCATGGAACAAAAAACAACAACAAAGCGTTATAGCAGAGCGAGGTTTTGATAGTCAGACATCTGATTTGTGGGTACCGCACGCTTCCACTGCATGCGGCACTCTACCAACGTCAGTATAAAAAAATCTGATAAACAACAGCCATTGTAAAAAAAATTAAACCTGGTTTATATTGGTTTACTCTTGCATCAGCTGCTTGCTAATTTTTGCTGAGCTGTTGGTTATCATTTAGACTATTACCAACGGGATTCCAAGGCAACAGTAAGTCACCATCACTTCACCTTAAACATACCCTGCGTTCCTATCATTCCAACTTTCGCGCTTTGCTCGCACAGGCATCTGGGAACTCTTACTAATCGGACCGGTGAAAAAACTTCTCAAAGACACGCGAAGCAGAGTGGCGCAGTGGAAGCGTGCTGGGCCCATAACCCAGAGGTCCGAGGATCAAAACCTCGCTCTGCTATTTTTTTTTCTTCCGCCACTCTCATTGTAAGGGTTTTCGGACCGGTGAAAAAACTTCTCAAAGACACGCGAAGCAGAGTGGCGCAGTGGAAGCGTGCTGGCCCCATAACCCGGAGGTCCGAGGATCAAAACCTCGCTCTCCTATTTTTTTTTCTTCCGCCACTCTCATTGTAAGGGTAAAACTGCTGGGACAAAGTCACAACTCATTAAAAAAAAAAAAAAAAAAACACGCAAGTTTTCAGTAATGCTTTTTCTTTTAGAGTTTAATATTATCTTGAAAGACATCGGTCAAGCACAAACAGTGAATAGTACCGGCGACAAAATGCTGATCACCTGATGCCGGAAGCGAAAAGTAAAAAAGGCTAATGCATAAGTTTGACATTACTGTGTGTTTGTATAGTGGAGTTCTTACTGATGTTTTCAGCGGCCAGCAACGTCGTTTCAAAAATTCGGAATAGAAACCAGATCGAGAAAAAATTGGCAGCATGAACTAAAACAAATCTCTTCATTTATTAGAGACAATATTAGTGACATCCATGTGATCGCTTGCCGCTAACGTCTTTCTGTTCGGTCAAGCGACCTTCACTGCTTGTAATGGCGTCAGTAGGCTGCATTTAATACTTCCAGAACTTTTAAGTTAATTGGACCCTATGGGGGGGTCGCAACTTTGTTTTTCGAGCTGGGTTCCATTGTTAACTTTATTTGTTCATTGTTTTCCCAACCAATCCCGTAAGATCTTCCGAGAGCTGCAAGGTCGCCAGTATCGCGCCGTCGACCTGTAAATAACCCGCCGCGCAGCAACAACAAAAAAAAACAGGTAGCCTGGGTACATATCCCGCATTTCTGGCCTAATATGTGTAAAATGTGGCATGTAAAGGTCAAAAATTAAAAGGGTAACTATCGTAGTCGGCAGGATTCGAACCTGCGCGGGGAGACCCCAATGGATTTCGAGTCCATCGCCTTAACCACTCGGCCACGACTACTTCCAGTACATAATGCGCTGGGTACCAGAGTTTTTTTAATCGTGTGCGTCGGAATGCTTCGGTATAGGCTGCAGGCCAAAGGCCGAAAGCCGAAGTCGCGGGAAAAAACCCGGCATTGTTAAGACTTGTCCGAAGAAAAAATAATTTGGCGGAAGGTTGTTCTTTCATTGCTCCTCACGTTAGCGAGAACTGTAGCAGTTCAAGGCTACATAGATCTGTAGATCCCTATCGGATCTTGGTTTTATTACGTGGTTCTCTACGAGTCAATGAGATAAACCGACCCAATAGTGATTCTGAGATTTGTTTAAAGGTGTTCAAGGAACAGTGCTGTGGTGTGAGTATGTGCCGTTTCTGTCTCTAAATTTAGAAGGCGGGTGAAAATGTCATTGCTGATCTATTTTGACCCCATTTACATACCTCGTAGAAAAAAATCTTGAAAAATACGGTTAATAGATTGAAAATGAAGAGGAAAGTATTGATAGCCCTGCTGTAAGAGAGAAATCGTCCATACGCCGATGAAATACAACGCATTTTTGTTGCTTTTGTTGTTGTGGTGTATTAAGGCAACCCTAGAAAAAATAGTTCTGCGAGCTATAATAAACAGTAAATGCAAGACATTTTTTAAAAGCAAATTAAATTGACCCTTTACTGACTGCAATTTGCACGGCGAATGTTGCGCTTTTTGAAGTCACCTTTGTTTCAGATAATTCTTTATTACATGGATCAAAAATAACGATGAAGCCAGGGGCTTATATAGCACTGGTGGTCAAGAAAGAAAAACGAGTTTATGTTACAAAATGTGCTGCTGATGATTATTTGAGAGGAAACCAAAACGAGAGTACAAACGGAATATTCTTGGAATACCCAAAATGACGAATATCCTCTTCATTTTCAATGTATTAACCGTATTTTTCAAGATTTTTTTCTACGAGGTATGTAAATGGGGTCAAAATAGATCAGCAATGACATTTTCACCCGCCTTCTAAATTTAGAGACAGAAACGGCACATACTCACACCACAGCACTGTTCCTTGAACACCTTTAAACAAATCTCAGAATCACTATTGGGTCGGTTTATCTCATTGACTCGTAGAGAACCACGTAATAAAACCAAGATCCGATAGGGATCTACAGATCTATGTAGCCTTGAACTGCTACAGTTCTCGCTAACGTGAGGAGCAATGAAAGAACAACCTTCCGCCAAATTATTTTTTCTTCGGACAAGTCTTAACAATGCCGGGTTTTTTCCCGCGACTTCGGCTTTCGGCCTTTGGCCTGCAGCCTATACCGAAGCATTCCGACGCACACGATTAAAAAAACTCTGGTACCCAGCGCATTATGTACTGGAAGTAGTCGTGGCCGAGTGGTTAAGGCGATGGACTCGAAATCCATTGGGGTCTCCCCGCGCAGGTTCGAATCCTGCCGACTACGATAGTTACCCTTTTAATTTTTGACCTTTACATGCCACATTTTACACATATTAGGCCAGAAATGCGGGATATGTACCCAGGCTACCTGTTTTTTTTTGTTGTTGCTGCGCGGCGGGTTATTTACAGGTCGACGGCGCGATACTGGCGACCTTGCAGCTCTCGGAAGATCTTACGGGATTGGTTGGGAAAACAATGAACAAATAAAGTTAACAATGGAACCCAGCTCGAAAAACAAAGTTGCGACCCCCCCATAGGGTCCAATTAACTTAAAAGTTCTGGAAGTATTAAATGCAGCCTACTGACGCCATTACAAGCAGTGAAGGTCGCTTGACCGAACAGAAAGACGTTAGCGGCAAGCGATCACATGGATGTCACTAATATTGTCTCTAATAAATGAAGAGATTTGTTTTAGTTCATGCTGCCAATTTTTTCTCGATCTGGTTTCTATTCCGAATTTTTGAAACGACGTTGCTGGCCGCTGAAAACATCAGTAAGAACTCCACTATACAAACACACAGTAATGTCAAACTTATGCATTAGCCTTTTTTACTTTTCGCTTCCGGCATCAGGTGATCAGCATTTTGTCGCCGGTACTATTCACTGTTTGTGCTTGACCGATGTCTTTCAAGATAATATTAAACTCTAAAAGAAAAAGCATTACTGAAAACTTTTGTGTTTTTTTTTTTTTTTTTTTAATGAGTTGTGACTTTGTCCCAGCAGTTTAACCCTTACAATGAGAGTGGCGGAAGAAAAAAAAATAGCAGAGCGAGGTTTTGATCCTCGGACCTCTGGGTTATGGGCCCAGCACGCTTCCACTGCGCCACTCTGCTTCGCGTGTCTTTGAGAAGTTTTTTTACTGCTCCGATTAGTAAGAGTTCCCAGATGCCTGTGCGAAAGCGCAAAAGTTGGAATGATAGGAACGCAGGGTACATTTACGGTACAGTGATAGTGACTTACTATCGCCTTGGAATCGCGTTGGTATATGGAAGATTTAAAACCCCTGAGTACCTTGCCGTTTAACAATAACTTTTATAAAACGGTAATTCACGTCTCAAGCACGATTCCGATGCAACAGGTGACTGCTACACCAAGCTTCTTAGCCTTTAAGTAAGTGTGACTGATTTCACTCTGCACCAAATTGGGTTTGGTCGCAGAGGAATCCTTGATACCAAGGCCAAATAAGACGCTTCTCAAACTAAGAAAAACTCTACCAACCTGAGCTCATAAGCCAGAGGATCCGAAGATCAAAACCTCGCTCGGCTAGGCTTTATTGTCCGTCATTTATATATATATATCTATTTTTTGAACTTTTCGCTGTTTTTATTGACCCTCGCGAACCCGAATGTACGAAGACCAGAACCTTGTCCAGCTGAAGGGGTTTTATATTGTCGAAATGTGTTTACAATTTGAAATAGGCTTTTAGTTAGTATAATTAACTTCAATTTAACCTTGCGGCATAAGAAAATCGTAATCCCAAAATTAAAGCGAAAGAACTAGTTCAGTTCTAATCGGACATCTGTGCATGTCTTTGTTTCCAATATATATGCCAGCAAAACTGATAGTAATTCAGTCAATGTTCAATTTCTGCGATCTTACGACACAAGGACTTTTAGTCCATTTCCTAGGAAATTGTTTGTTCTTGCACACCCTAACTTACTCAAAATCGCTTGCACTTGACTTGAGCAGGCTAAAAGCCATTAGAAAGAGGAGGAAAAGAAGAGAAAAAAGAGGGAAGCAAAAATAGCAGAGCGAGGTTTCGATCCTCGGACCTCAGGGACCTCTAATCCTAGCACGATTCCACTGCGCCACTCTGCTTACCATGGGCCCCTGCTAAAAAAAAAATAAGAGAAAGGCTATTTACGTTAATTATCACGCTGGGATCGCCTTGCAATCATTGTTATGATTATTATTTTTTAAACCCTAATGAAAATAAATAAAGAAAAAAGAATGAAGGTAGGAAAATAAATCATAAGTAAAAGTTATGAATTCACTATTTTCACATTGGCGCCAGGCACCTTGGTTAGCCTCCTAAATTTAGTAAAAGGATAGTTTTTAATTTTTTCTGGGCATTAGAAGTTAAAAAAAATTGCTGAAGCAACATTTTAAGGGTAATCAAGAAGTATTTTCGGTAATGTGAAAATATTGAATGAAAAAAGTGTTTGGGTTGCCTATAGTTATAATAGAGCTCATTAAGACAACAAATGAATTTTTACTATCAGTTTCTACTTGCGTCTTAAATTATGATGATTGTGTTTTATCCTTTTCCACAGGACTACATTGTGTTTCTGCCAGAGGATTATTACAAGGCGGAACTTCTCAAAGATGTTTCCTCAGAGCCATGTTTGCTGCGAACCTCAAAGCCTGAGCACTGCGATATGTACACGTATTATGAGCCTAAAAGCCCGTCGATCATCACCGTGTCTGGGGACAAGGCATATACGCTCCCATTAAAAGGAAACCCTGATATATTTATCGATCCGCGATTTGATTTAAGGGACCAAAGACTGTCCAATATGGCGTTGTTGGGTAACATTCAGGTAATACTGTATTCTGGTTTTACTGTTCTCGAAGTAAGATGTAATAAGGCACGCAATGCGTACATGTGTCTACTAATGTGCTGTAAGGGATGAGAGGAGATAGATGTAATAGAATGCACGATGCATAAACATGTCTATTAATGTGCTGTAATGAAAGATGTTTATACGTAGAGGTCTTTACCACAGAACCAGATTAATTCGGTCACAAAAAGAACAGATCCTAGTTTCCGCATTACCTTTTTATAAAGGGAGGTATCTTAGGCAACAAGTTAATTGTCCGTTACAGTAATGTGAGCGTATGATTGAGGTGCCTGCAATGTAAGGAGAGGTTTACTTAGGCAATCAAACCTCCTTAATGCGAACAGGAAAGGAACAGATCCAAGTTTCCTCATACATAGGTGTCCTTATTATAGAAGTAGGCATTGAATGAATTTTCGTATCTTTGGCACAAGTTCAAAAACACGTTAATAATTGATAAGGAAAAAAACAAAAGAAATTAATGTTTAATGAGTATTTTTATATGTGATAAAGGCACGGGTAAATTTTACGTCCAATTTTTTAGACCAAAATAACCCCATCTAACTATTAGTGCAAGAATGAGTTGATCTATATCAGAGATTTTGAAGCCGTCCAAAAAACTCGCAGTCAGGTTTAAAAACCCCCGGCTTCGCCTCCGAGTTTTTAATCCTGTAATACACTCCTGCTTGGTTTTTAAACAGTACGTAAATTGTCTGTTATGACGTAGATATGTATGCGTATTATACTTATTGCACGTATTAACTGTAAAAAGGGAGATTCAACTTTACATTCAAACCACCTTACGAAGGACAACAAATGGGGAAGACAGAGGTGTCCCGATAATATACAGGTGTGAAATGCCGCATGACACTTGGTGTCCTTGAAGGGACCAAGAAAACTGAAAACAGCGCCTTGACTTTGCTCGTTGTCAGAAAAGTCAACCCGGAATTTACTGAAAATTCCCCGGCGCCATCTCCCGAGACTAATGTTCTTTTTTAAACAATTTTTAAGCCTTCAATAGGATTTGATATCTCAGTGCCGGAATCCGGTCATTACGTCATCATGGTGACGTATCTCCACCCAGAGAGATTTACTCAACGTGCGTTTGTTAGAGTAGGATATGAACGAGGACAACTGGAGATTTTACCTTGTAAATACCAGTTTGCCTGCCGTCAGTTTGCTATGGATGACAATAAGAAGCCCAAGTCCTTTGAGTTGACGGCCTCTCCAAACAAACATGAAGTGAAACTGGAAAGTTCGGTGTCATCAAAAATTGCCGTGGTGGGTATTACATAAATCTTTGTTCTCCCAGCAAAAGAAGTTTAATGACATAAAAGATGTAGTGGTGTGGGCTGGAAAAACCAATGCTATGTAGACACTGTACCGGATAGCTTTTCATGTTGACATGAAAAATTCTCCGGCCTGATATGAATAGCAAACGGCTCAGAACTGAAACAACTCATTCACACACATCAAGCATCGTAACAGTAGGGCAGTTGGCCGAGGGTTTGGTGGGATAAAAATCGTCACTCTTATTTTACTTCCGTCTCAGTGGGTTACAGGCCTCGCTCTTACCCATTTACTTCTGCTACGGTTGAATACCACCGCCACAAACAATGGCATTGAAACCCATCCGATTTGTGACAAACTACTTTGAAGATGGACGTGGCGTAACTACGCTCAGTTAAAGAAACCTTACCGAAATCACTGTTTCTATCTGTTAACAAAAGCCCCATCTGATATGGTTTTCGTGCCGGGGTAAGAGACATCCGATATAATGCTCCCTACGGAAATATGGTACGTGCCAGAGATATATAACGGGCTGAACGAAGTTGTAATCACTGACTACCTATCCGCACGTAGATACTCACGTGGATAGCCTGCAGCAAAGGCCAACTCATGAGCGAGCTTGAGAAAATCTTATCAGGGAAGTTAAGCCAAACCAGGATTGAGCGAGAGGTTCCTTGCCTGCTACTAATCGTGGTCTTAATAAAACTTAATCAGTACTTCATTCAGTTGCTGGTCTTGATTCATTCAATCAGCTTTCAGATTTTCAGATGTATGTCACACTTTGTTTGTTTGGGTTTTTAGTTTTTCCTGAATACGACCAATGGGCCATTTCACGATGGCGTCATTATATTTCTATGACCAGAATTCTTCAGGGGTTTGCTTTCTTGTGCAAATTAGGGCTCTGTTATGGGATTACTGATTACTGAATTTAAATATGAAAGAAAAACGAAGTGAATGGTGAATAGTAAAATGACACCGTGCAACGATCTCTCCACAACCATAGACTTGTTCCGCCCCCATCAAAATGTTCTTAGTGTAAAATACAATTTTGTGATGACAACTTTCCCCTGAAATGTCCCCTTTCCTTTACTAAAATTCAAAAACTTAATATTTCGTAGTCGGCAGGATTCGAACCTACGCGGGGAGGCCCCAATGGATTTCTAGTCCATCGCCTTAACCACTCGGCCACGACTACCTGAGTAATACACTTTGTTACCGTTTGTTATAGAGAGTGTTACAATATTCTGTTTCTATTTTCCCATGCATGTTTTTTTTTCAGATTTCAATCACCGTCATACCCCTTGCAAAATGGAATATACAGTACATTCAACCCGCATTCCAATGTCGAATGTACAATAAATCCTGCGTCTCCACTAGCTATGATATACCACCAGATGCCATTCAACTGGCCGCTTTTTCGCGTCGAATACAAGATAAGGTACCGCTACAAACTACTATTAAAAGTAAAAATAGAGAAATGATCGTAAGAACCGGCCTCTAAGCAACCACGATGTCACCTGCAGCGAAAAAAAGGAATTTGCTTTAATTTAAACTTTTTGACATTATTCAATTTGTCAACTGAACTAAATTCTATAGGATCTAAATTGTACATGTTTGTTCATAAGAAAATAATGGTCTTCTGTTGACGTGCTCCATAAAAGGTGAAATAAGGACTTTCCACGTCGTGGTCGTGTAGTAACGATGCATATGCATTTCTTTTTTAACCCCTAGCTTTTACCTTTTTGTTGCTGATGTTGTCGCTGTGGTCGTTGAGTAAAGGGGCTGTATCATGGCAGTCCAGTTCATTTTGTTTGATTTTGCCAATTACTCGCTCTCAATCGCTATGGAACTTAAAGTAAGCAAAGAAATCACATTTAAATGACAAAATCAGAGATCGAGATAAACAAATATGTCTCCTCAGCATTATTTTTGAAGTTGCAAGCAGCAGGGATCAACTTTGAAAAACTGTTAGGCTGAACAGTTTTCAATAACCCTAATTTAAATCCGTTTCAATCTTCTTCAGTTTTACTCATCCGTGGCATCTGGTGTTTCTGTTATTTAACCTTCCCTTAAAGTTTGAAGCGGTTATTTTTATGTTTCTCTTAATTTAACGAGCATTTTGTAATTTCCTAATTTGGCTGAATTTCGTGACACAACTCCTTTAAGCATGCGGCACTGTAGTCGCAGTTGTGCATGCAATTAATGCGCCGACGAATTATACTTTCCCGGCGAACAGGGAAATATTCCCGCGCAAAGTACAGGTACTTGTGATATAAACAGCGTTAAATGGTAAATTTGGAGCCTTTCACTTTTTCCATACGTTTCCCACATGAGCATACGTCTGCGGGAACCTTATCTTTAAAGCCACCTACTCATTGATAATTTAATTCATCATCATCATCATCACTTTTATTTATGCACGGTAAAAACATCAGGCAATATACGATAAAATTATTGTTTATAACGCTTTGCTTTTTTAGATGATAACTATTTTGACTGGAGCTGTTCGTCCCAAAACCATCTACTATGTGATGGTGTATTACAAACAGCCCCAGAGTTTGTCGACAAGAGTCGAGCAGATATTGATTGCAGATCAAGTGAAGTCGAACATCTCCGTAACCTTTCAGTACTGCCCCGCCAGATCTGGCTGTCGAATTGTCCTTGGAGAGGAGGATGGAAGACGCTTTCAGTTTAGCAAAGGCGTCTTTACTGCTACCATTGAACACGATAGGCGGACACAAGTGGTAGGAAGAAAAAACTTTCTTTTTGATTATACTGGTCTGGCTTGTAATATTCTCACTGATACTAGGGCTAATTTGGTTGACAATCTGCCGGAACTGGATCTGCCATCTCGTGCGTCACTTTCATTGATAGTGTGTGATCGCGTCTACCATCGAAATTACCTAATACGCTTGTTTGCAATAGCTTGTTTTAGTCTATGAATCATTTCTCTGGCTAGTTTTCTTAAACTTGGCTATAACTGACGCCCAGCTTTAGGCCCCGTGTATATGGCGAAAAGTTGTCCCTCCCTCACCTACATTTTCTTTTAACGTTCGTTAACGTAAGAGACAAAAAGTTGGCCCAGCTAGAAGGGGAACCTTCCTGACCGGTTCACCCGTTTGTGATGGTATGGTCATCCTCCTGGCCGGGCCAACTTTTCTCCATATAAACACTTTGGCTCGCACAGCCGGGGTAACTCGGTCAAGTTGAGACAATCAGAGCATGCGCGAGCTCTGTTGGCTCGGGCAAAAGGGTCACCTTTTCTGAGATACACGCTGATCCGTTACCCAGGACAGGTTTTTTTCATTTAAAGTACTCTGACTTATTCTTTTTCTCGCCCCTCCCCCCCCCCCCCACACACTTCCCTCATTTAAACATATTATAACAAAAAAACACAAAAAACCATACGACATGAATCTGCGCCCCACCACAGATTAGTCATATAACCATTTTGCCACGCACCAACGCGCCAGATCAGGTTACAGGAAAAAAACTGAGATTTCGGGCACCCAGTTTCCTAAGGAACAAGGGTAGCTTTTTTCAAAATACACCAACATCCGTCACCAATACCAAAATTTTTCCAATTAAAGAAAAACACACTCTTCAATTTCACCCCCCCCCCCCTCCCTCAAAAAAATATTCTTAAGTTATAAAAGGGTTAAATCAAAACACTGAAAGAGCCATAGCAGAGCGAGGTTTTGATCCTCGGACCTCTGGGTTATGGGCCCAGCACGCTTCCACTGCGCCACTCTGCTATCTGCGTTCCAAGTTCTTCCGAGTTATATAAAGAGATCTGGTCACTGTCTCTGTAAAGCTGGTGTAGATCGTAAATGGCAAGAGAGTTTCAATAGTTTTGCACCTCGATTAAAAAATATAGTGAATAAGTACTAAAAACGAATTTTTTCATTTGCATCTGAGTTCTGTAAATTTGTTTACATTGACTAGTTGTGTTGGATTTATTAAGTTTCCAATACTTCACTTTGCTTCCGCTGCTTTGCTCTTCTAATTTCAAAAGAGGGAAGAAAAACATTTCAAGTTGGTAAATCAACACAGAAAAAAATATTTCCTTAGGATTGGAAAGCGAAACAAAATATCTCCAAAATAAGTTAAGAAAAAAGACAACATAGCAGAGCGAGGTTTTGATCCTCGGACCTCTGGGTTATGGGCCCAGCACGCTTCCACTGCGCCACTCTGCTATCTATTGAACATTCTCGCTTGTTTAGCTATTCAAATGTTAACTGCCCCAGGTCGTTGCACAAAATGGAGGCTAGGTGCTAATCTGCTTTGCTTTTTTTCCGCTGTATTCTCTCTCTTTTTTTTATTCTGAACAGATATTCAGGTTGTAAATCCTGCATAACAGAACCTTCCAATTTACTGTGCTTACTGCCGACATCTTGATAACTTTATTGCAATCCATTTTTTGCAAACTTACAATCGTATTGTAATCTTGATTACCCTATTTCTTTTTAAATTTATATTAAACTGGAAAAATATGCACTCTAAGCTGTCGTCCTGGCAGGAAGAAGAAGTCCAGAGTAAAAGGAAATCATTATACTCGTCATAATCAGATTGCAGGTGCAAATTTCCTGTTTTTGATTTTACTTGTTGACATAGGGACACGTACTTCTGGTGCCACAGGGATCCTACTCTACCCGCCTCCTGGAACCTCAATCTATCGACCGAGTGCAACAGTTTATTCAAAGTTGCGGTAAAGATCACTTTCACATCGACCCAGGCCAGGCGGGAAGAATGTGTCGAGAGGGTGTCTTTACTTTAACGATTGGTTTCAATCGTCAACCTTTACAGTGTAAATGCAGTCTTCTTGGTTCTAGATCCGTGTTTTGTGAGAAGTTTGGCGGGCAGTGTCTTTGTCGTGCCAATGTGGTTGGGAGAACGTGTGATAGGTGCCGGCTTGGTCACTCAGGTTTCCCGCGTTGCAGAAGTAAGCGGCTATCTTGTTCCAGAATGACATTTTTTCTAAATATTGTTTCTCAACAGTGCAATGGAAACGTATTACTTCATGCATAACTTTCTCTGAAATAGTCAGTAGATACGACACGAATTCAGGGGTTCAGTATAGAACAAGTTTTACAGAAT